CTTTTTCTTACAAGTACGTTTGAATGAAAGAATAAAACGAAAATAACATCATTAAGAAGAAGCAGAGAACTTCCTGATTTTGTCACCCACTTGAGTAGCACTTTCGAAATGAGAAAGAAACACAATACACCTGAGTGCATAACAAACATAAAACTCTATTTGCACTCGTAAGTGAAACACAAGCACAACAAAAGTGAAACAATATTTTAACCCTTGCGTCAAAGCGCTAGCTCAGCCAGAAAAACCAAATAACAAAAGCAATGAAATCAAACAAAAGCATTGTTTTAAAGGACAGAAAAATTAAAAAAAAAAATCATATGCAAAAAAATATGTATTCTATACAAAAGTCCATTATTACAAAAGGTGGCAGAAGTCAAACACATCTACACATAACCCGCTTTCGTTCTTCATCATCAACCCGGTAAGCATAATAAATAATAAAAAAAAATAATATTATAAAGAAAAAAAAAAAAAAACAAAAAAAGAACCGAACAATAGTCACTTTTCTATAGAGAGGCGGCAACAAGCAGGGACGTGAAATTGTCGTCGTCGTCCGACTTAAATAGCAAACATTTTAACGCTCTCATTCCTTTGGCCTGTTAACAGTAATACCAACGGCAACAACAACACCGCCAGCCATAGTGTAATAGCACGCAACAATAAAATAATTGCAGCCGCACTGAAGAATAGCGAAAATGAAGCGCGAATCTAAAGTTTTTCATTTAGCTTCTCTGTCATTCGCCATTCAGTCAGCCAGTGTGCGGGTGTTGAATGCGCTGTATACACTGAATACACTGTTAACTAAATATAAGGAAGGGCAGAAGCTAGTAGTTAGCGCAGCAAGCCTTTGTTTTCACGGAATCTAAGCGCCCTAATAACTTGCTGCATGCAGCTAATGTCTCGGGCCCGAGAGTTTCGTGGTTTTTTTTGTTGTTTGCTTTTTCCTTTCCTTGTCCTGTCTATTTTCAAGTATATTTGATGACTTTCATTCATTTCTTTTTTTTTTAAGGCATGAGATCAACGCGCTTGCTAACAAAGAACAGGATATTCGAGTAAAGTAAATCATAGTAAACACCGAACATCGAAAGCAGACTTAAATTTCAACATCATGTCTTATATTTTTCACTACTCAGCTTTGTTATGTTTACTTTTCCTTCTTTTTTTTTTCTTTTAAAGGTGAAAACAAATAAAGACAAAGTTTCCGCAAAAAAAAAAAAAAAAAAAAATCTAAGTCGGCATCTTTTAATAACATTGGCGATAGCAAGGAACGTTCATAACAGTAAATGGCTTAGTGGTAATTTAGTAAAGAATTTAAATTTCATAAAGAAAGCTCAACGAGAAAGAAAAGAGACACATTTCAGAAAAGTCCGCGCAAAACCTTAATGGATTCACAAAATAGTTTTCAAATAAAGTTAAGGGAGAACAGCCTTTACATTTTAGCTTTGGAAGACATATTAAAAATTATTTTGCTTGCAGATGACCGCAAAAGCTTTAGCGGAAACACACAACAATACGACATATGGTATGATATAGCGGCGGCTGAGCAAGAACTGGCATCCCTTTACTTATGGCGTTTTCGAGAAATAAAAATATTACATTAAAATTTTAAAAGAATAAAAATTTAATACAATAAAAATTCTTTAAATATTATTTCGCAATCGAAATACAATTTCCGAATATGAAAAACCATTGTTCTCTTGTTTTCGCGTAGACAAGAACAACAGTTTTCAATCCTAAAAATATGCAACCAATTTTGTGTGAACATTTTCAGTTAAAAGCAGGCAATGAAAATTTTTCAATAAAGTCAAGTTTTGCAACGCTGCGTTTAAAAACATGCTTTACATCCAATCGATATCTTGTCGCACTTAAAAGCGAACACTGCAACCAACCAGTTAACTATGTCGACTTCTTTGGAAAATGTGCATTTAAATTGCATCGCCAAAATTAAGCGATGGCGAGTATACTTGTCACATAAAGAGTACGCGTAATACGAAATTAGATTGCAACGAAATGTGTTTACAAAATGACATACATATTATGGCAAACGATAAAATTTTGACGAGAAAATTCAGGAAAGACGGATGTACGGATCATGACGTTTTCGTCATAACAAAACAAAATTTTGCACTTTTTCGCGGCACAGTTAACAGTTTAGCTAAGTATGGGGAGGTCTTTACAACTCCCATAGTGACTTGAGAAGCATCCACCTTTCATTATGCCAATGAATGCAGGATCATTCTCTGAACTGAATCTAGCCTGTTTGCCAGCCTGTCTGTCTCTCCGACCGTCATTGTAATTGTGCTTCCAAGTCCAAGTTTAATGCCCGTCGATCTGTTTTGTTAGGGACAGTGATCCAATACTTTTTGTAGTGCATTTTTATTTTGCAGGAAAACTATTACACGAGAAAGCTGAAGTGAAGTGAAAAACTTGATGGCTATGAATTAGATGCGTGAGATGAGTTAGATGATTAGATCATGCACACTCATCAGGTCCTCGTCCCACTTCTTTTTGACCATCACCGTATTACACCTGCAGGCAGCATCCACTCGGTGATTGGTCACATCAACCCGAAGAAGAATCCTATTCAAAGTGAATTTAAATTTTGAAAAAGTCGTTTTAAGAACAACCACGATCAATACTTCTCGTCAAAAAGTCATGCATGAGAGTAATTAAGCATATTAAGTGAATGCAGAAAATTCAGACCTAACGATACAATTTTTTAAACCTTCGCTCTTATAATTGCTTTTTCCTACAAAAAAAGAATTCCTTACGTAAACAACATTTTATCATATCCTACATTACTTGTGGCATAATAGAGGATCGAGACTGACTTGTTATTATCAGGATCGGTTCAGAATCCATTTAAGCTTTTCTATTCGTCTGATTATTTTTGCGTTCAAACTACACAGAGCAATTCACGAGATATTTTCAAGATATTGACGAACTTTTGCCTAAGAATATTTTATAAGGAGAAAAAGTTGATATAGGAAATAATATTTATAGGTATGCAAAGTAAATGTGGGACACTTGCATCGGATAGAACTATTTTTGGCGCCCATCCCATACACTCGTTCTGGCAAAATACAGAACTTTTTATGACAACAAACCCAAATTTTAGGAATTTTTTCATTGAAAAGAGTCTCGAGTAGTCTTCTCGCTTTCAAATAAAAGCCTTTTGAGAAATACGCTGTATTACGATAAAAAGTTCTGATTTTGATTATTTTATAGCAAAAATATATGAAGAATAATAACTTCTCTAACGAATGGAAATGAACTAATCTAAATTCGGACCGCGACGATTAACGCTCTAATCTTCCGCAAAAGACTTATTAAAGAAGTCATTTTTATATTAGTAAAATTTATTAAATTATTAACTTTTGATTGCAATACGCCAGGCGGCGTAGACCATTTGGAGGTCGACCTTGCTCGTTTATTAAAAAATGCAAGAAGTTTACAAATCCCGTGAGAAAGATAAGTAAGAAAATTACATTCGGACCTGACCCAATCTTTATTACCCTCATCACCTACTAAAGGAAAACAAAAGAACTAACTTTAATGCTTTATGATATTGCGTAGGCGTGGATAATTTCTTAATTTTCAGAATAAAAGAGGAAACGTATGTGATGTATGTGTTGTATTTCATGGGAACCAAGGAAAGATCATGGAAAGCAAAGTTGTCCGCATTTTTTGTTACATGACGTGTGGACGTAGTAGGCGTCTTCTTTGAAAAGTTTGGGTAATTTTCAGATTGTTTTGCAAGTTTGTAGGCCATATCTTCTGTTTAAACAGATGCTACGCAAATGGGCATATGGACAGACGGATACGCTTAAATCGATTCAAAATTTGATGCTGATCAAGAATATACAAACTTGGCGACGTCTCTGAAACTGCCTTCCAGGCATTTCAAACATTTTGATAAAACGAATATATCTCTCATTCTTTGGTGCTGAGTATAAAAAATACAACTTGGAACTACAAGTACATTGCTAAGCGATTTTCGGTAAATTCAAAATTTTTAAACAAAAGTTTTTAAATTTTTACGTGGCCCGTTGTATTTCTTCTAAATTGAGTATAAAGCCACTGAATAAAAGCACGGCCTACGTGCACTGGTATTTGAAAAGTACCTCGCCTTTGAATTAATTCTCTTTTCAAATCCCTGACTGTTGTTAAAAGAAAGCAACAATCTGGGGCCATCTTATAGGTGAAGTTATCGAGTAAACTCCACAGCTGTTGATTATCGCTTTGCTGTAACTAACTCGCTATCGATAGGTAAGGTGTACATTTTCCTTATTACAGAATAAAAAACATTCCGATCATAAAATTGCTATCGCGTAGCATATGGAAATTACGGTTGAGCCTACTCTATATCGACAGCTACAAACCGGCACCTCCTTTTCACTTTCTAAAACTGTTCTCTTCTTATTCTATTCTATCCAGAGTGCAGCTAATGTGAGTCATTTGAAAACAGAAGATCTTTGTTTGTACCTTAGCTGAATTTTTATCATTCAAAATCCTTTAGAGAACTCGTTATAACTCATTATAACATAACTTATAAATATGTCAGCGAAAAGGTTTAAGGCAGCCCTGAATGTTTCCGTGTCGCTGTTGATTTTCTGTAAAAGAGAACTAACAAACTCTTTTCCTTTCCTGGATTAACTTTCAATCATCTTATATGAACTCTATAGCAAAATATATTCATTCATCAAATAAAGTAGACTAACATCCACCTTTTATGGAAGCAAAATTTTTCATCTTTATGCCTGGAAAGCACTTTTATACCATGATATAAAACTCTAAATGAATGTATACAAAAACATTACTCTTTACTATTTTCAAACAAAATGTTTGGAAACAAAGTTTTGTATAAAAACATCCGTTTTTTATTAAATTAGCCCTAGAAGCACTTTAAAATTACTTAACTCTTTAAAACAATCTTGACAGTAGGAGAAAAAGACATAATTCAATAATAAGACCTAACAAATCATTATAAAGATGATTACCTCGTTATTGTTGGCCAAACACCCAAAACAAAGAAACCAAATGCCAGCATTCGTGGAACACTAAATGAACGATCGCAAGCAATGGCATCCAAAATATTATAAGCCAAACGTTTTTATATTTATTTTCTTTTTTTGTTTTTTTTTTTTTTTTTTTTCTCCTTTTCAAGATAAACTCTTTCGCTATGTGTTTGTTCTTTGGCTAAATGCCAAAACAATTTGTCTCGCAATCATATACCATCACAAACCATATTAATATAAACGTAGATGAATGTGTGTTTGTAAACGCGCGCGCGGGGTTAGCAGCAAAAAATCAAATAAAATCACTCTGCATAAAACTTTATCATATACTCCAGCAACAACGGCAACAACACCAACAGCAACAATGATGAGAATGGAGAGCAAAAAAAGTAAAAAATGAAGGAAAAAAAAAGATGACTGCAACACGTTACACACTAGCGCATGAAAAATGTCACAATTCCCGGCACACAAAAGAGTTGTTTTACAGGTTACAATATATCACATAAATATATATATAAATATATATATATATATATATATATATATACTACACTACAGTTACAAAATTACGTAGACAAAAAAGTAAAAGAGCATATAAAAGAGATATAGTCGACTAAAAGTAAATGCAGTGTTTTTCCATGGCAGCATATGTTCAATGAAAATATTTAGCACAAAAAAAAAAAAAATAGAATTTTGAACAATTGTTAAAGTTATTTACGTTTACCCTGCAGCAGCAGCAAGCACACTCAGCTCAATTTTATTTAAAATGTAATAAATTTTTTAGTTTTTTTTTTTTTTCGTTTCTTTTTAATTCAAAACCATTCTGCAATAGTAAGCGGTTTTCATTTCACATTTAAACCATTGCTGCTGTAGCAGACAAATCTATGAAAGAAAAAACGCGGCAAAGAAAGCTTTTTTCTTGTTTTCTTTTTTTGCAAGTCCCAGATAATCTAAGCTAAGGGTAGAGGAATTTTTTTTTTGCCATAGTTTTTTTTTATGCAGGTATACGCGCTTAATACGGTTTGAGTAGCAAAGCAAAGAAAAAACAAATTCAATTTTCTTCTTTTAACACTACAGAGAAAGAGAAAAATATTTTTTATGTGTACTTTGTAAATATTTTACACTCAAGTTTATTAACACTTTTATCCAGATAGATGAAGCCTCCTTTGAAGATAAATTGCATTTCTAAGACGAAATGAACATCTTTTCTGACTTTTGCTTTTTTAAGTTTTCTGTTTTCTCAGCTAAATGTTTTTATGAACTGTGTGTATTATTTTTTTTTTTGTGTAACTTTTAATTTTATAAAATTTTTTTTAGTTATTTCTTATTAAAATTATTTTTCAATTTTGTTTTATTATTCTTTAACCGACCGTTGGTCATATAACGGGTCAATGTAATCTAAAGTTATGATTATATGCTGCGTTATGGTTATGTTACACGTTCAAAGTTCACTGTTAAAATGATATTGTGTAGCATACATTTAGGCGCATTAACCCCTATACATATCTACAACATCCCTATCTATCTAGTTACTCATCTTTCTATCTATCTATCTACACTATCTATGTATCTATATACATATGCATATGCTCAATTATTTAGGTATATACACATACACATATACACGAATACAAATAGTTTGCCCACTAACATCCTCTATGCACTCTGACGATACACTCCTCTTATCTTCTTATCTCTGATATGTATGTATGTGTGTATAGATATTACTGGTATAAATTCCCTCACCCCGATCCGTAAAACTAACACTCCCATCAAATGGCCTTTTATCTCTGACGCCCTATGGCATCAAAGCTATTAATCTTGAATATAGATGTATGCATTCAGTAAGAACAAACCCAAAGCACAGGAAAATAAACCAATTAACACACGAACACACATATGGTTTATAACTATAACTAGTATTATGCTATAGTATACTCTATGCATGCGCCTTATAGTCCGCTACGAAATGCACCGTAAAAGACGTCCAAACGTTTTGAAATGCCGGTTAAGACTGAATTTTAAAAAACTGATATAGCCTACGATGGCTACAAAATACACAGCCAGACGATGTATTATCATCAACAATATGCTGCTACTGCAGGCTATACAGCGTTAACAGCAATACCAACAACAATAAACAAACCTCGCCATATACTCAATACCGGCAAAGAAACGTTTGCATTATCATTAGGATTTTACTTTTGCTCGGCTCTCAGGTTTATATGTTGTTGCTGCTTTTGTTGTTGCTCGTTTCTGTTCGACGTCTGCGTGTGCTTGTGCAAAAAGATTTCTCTTCAATAAGCGTTAAAAATGAAAGAGAAATTTTTTGTTATGCTCCTTCTCTCGCTCTATCTCTCTCATCCTGTCTATATCTCAATGCACTCGTGCATAGCCAGCTAAGCTTCCTCTTCCTCTTTATGGTGCACTTAATCAACAACAACGTGTTTTGTACACTATTGTGAGTTAACGGTGCGTATGAATGAAATTCATTTCCCAAACCTCTTATTTTCATAATATTGTTATTTGCATTGTATGCATATATTTGTTGTGTTCTGTTGTGGTATATGCATATGTAGAGAGGTTATCCGTTCTGTATATCCCATTTGTAATACGTGTACGTGTATTTGCATATGTATGTGTCCTCAAATAGTGGTATGTGTACAAGTGCGTACATATATAAATTTAAGGTACACGTAAATACTCAGCATATATAGGTCGTTAACGTGAATATAATGAAATCAATTTATGTCACTGCAAGTATATTAGAGAAGTGAAGGACGAAAACAATTCATTTGACAATACACAAAATAATATGCAATAAATTAAAGCTTGTCGATATGTTTTTAAATAGATGCTTTATTATTACTGTTGCCTTTTATGTTGTAATTGTTGAAAAAAGAAATGAAAGATTTTTATTGAAAAATATTTAAACATTATCTGACCGATATGAGACTTACAAGTACCGTATTTGTAATTTTAGTCATACGTCTGCTCTGATAATAAATCATTCTTTTATTTGTCGGTTCGTCCGTCCGTTTGTTCGTTCATCCGTCGATCCATCTCTCCGCCCACATTCTTTATCTCGTATTTAACAATTTGGAAGTACGTTTCTTCATAATTTCATAGCCATGGAATATATCGAAGGATATCGTGGACTGAAAAGTTTTGACATAAAGCGTCATATCGCTTTCTAGGGCGAGGCACAACAATTTACTCTTCAATAATTTCGTGAAATCATAAATCAAAAAAAAAAAAAAAATCATTTTTTAGGAGCAAATTCCATTATAGCACAATTTCAAGTCTCTTTTTTTCTGTTTCTTTCTCACGCAAGTGAAAAGCAGCTCTTCACAAAATCACTAATTCACTTTGCACGTAGAACAAATAAAACTAAAAAATATTATTTTCAAATAAATCTATATACGGCATATATACATCATATCTAATTTAGTAAACATAAACGATTGGTCTAACTAGACTACAGGTCTCTTGCACAGCTCACTCACGTAATTATTTAATACACTGAAGAGGTTATTTAACTAGAAATCCTTTTACATAGCTTGGAACCTAAAATATGGATATGTACAACAGCAACTACAAATAATAAGAGAAAACTAGAAAAAAATACTGACTCATGCCTAGAACGAAAACCATACTTGTCTCCCGCTTAAAACAAGGAACATTTACAATCGATTTTGCATTATTAGGTAAGTTGTTCCTTAACATTATAGCGCTAATAAAAAACCCATCTCGAAGATGTGCAGTATCTGTGTTGTGATAAAACAAGATTCTTAGCTCCTTTAAATCTAACAAATTACTTGAGCTCCTAAATAAAGCTAAAGTACGAGACCAAATATAATTCTGGAGTTCTGGGTGAGAGTTGAGGTACGCAGCGTGTTTCGAGCTATAAACACGATTGCCATATACGTTCTTTTCGAACTAATTTTATGATCAACTATAGAAGACGAGGAAAGGCGAAAACCAGACGGCAACTTTTTTAGCGGAATATTTTCTATATAGCGGTAATAAGAGTAAAATCGCTTAATAATTGAGTACAAATTTTAGGTTTTATTTTACTGCTATGTTATTTTATACATGACTAAAGCTGTAGATTTACATTCGTTAGGAAGCTTCAAAGCTTCTTTCAAACATACGCCTGCGATTTTACTATTTGTTATACTTATGATCGAAGAAAGGAAATATATATAACGATTATATGAGTGTACTATATGCCAGGGGATCAGAAGACGGCAAAACTTTCGCATTTAATTCGCGCCAATTCATCATATTTTTCTTAAATTTTATGCCAATATCTTCATCTTTCACAAAAGCAGTGGGTATCATCTTTCTTATAAGCAATGAATATCGTCTTTCATATAAAGAATTGTATTTTTCAATTCGCCTATATTTCTTCAATTAAGTTAAAAGCACGTCCTCACAAGTTATTTCTTATTTCCAAAATGATCCAGAAGTCAGATGAGTCTAAACCGTGTTTAGTGATTTGGAGAACGGTGTGAGCTCAATTTATTGTGAAACAAATTTCGAGGAACTAATGCAGCATGAGAGAACGCATTGCCTTAATATAAAAAACAAACTTCATCCGTCCCGAATCCTTACGAATAGAAGTTCAAGCGAACGGCACATAGTGATATTGTTACAGCTGTCTATCCCCCTTTCCAGCCCTAAATATCTAATTATGTATACCTGGTACCCTATGGGCTCGTATTCTCTCACTCACATTATTTTTCTATCTCTTAAAATAGTTTTATATATTTTATACGTTATCTGTTACTTATACGCCATGTTGATCATACAGTTTTTAATGTACTATGCTCCAGTAAGAAGAAAGGAATGTTGAAAGGAATGTATATCGACATACGCTCACATCTGGGAACTTTAATGTGTAAGGTACGATCAAGTAAAATTAATCTGATGTAATTTTCTTTCAATTTTTTAAGACAATTTGTCCTTTTTTTCCTTTAAATTTTAACTTAATTCGTAAAAAGATTTAATTTAATGCCCGCCAGGCTTTTCCTCTCTCTCTTTAATAAGAACTTAATTAAACATTATCCAAGCGTGTCCTTTAAAAATCGCTCTTTTTAGGTATACGTGCGGATGTATGTACATGAAAATTAAACATATATATACGTATATGCAAAGTACATGCATACGCAAGTTTAAGCGCCAAAATATTATGCCGTCATAATAAAGGCTATAATACACAGTAGAAAAAGAGAAAATAGAAAAAAAAGAAAAAAAAAGAACAGAAAAAGCAGAAATGCACAGTGCTTTACGCAAATACACAGACAGAAACCTTACTACTATGCGACATTGAACGTGAAATAATGTTTTTCCACTTTTTTTTCTTCTTCTTGTGCAACTTTTATGCATACATACAATAAAGCAAAAAAAAAGCAATTTTTTCTTTTTTCTTATTGTGCAAAAAATTCCACGTGCTAAAGCGAATTCTCTTTCATTTCGTCGGGAGAGCAGAGAAAAAAAGAGAGAGAGAGAGAGAGAGAGAGATAAAGAAGCAGAAAGAGCGAAAAGGGTGACAAAAATAGCGCAAGCGTTCTCTTAAGTAAATAAAATTATCTGAAAAATTAATAAAACATTTCAAATGAAATAATTTATGACATATAATATGCGATGATGCTGACCTAAGACAAGTCACAAGCGGTTGTTTACACAGAGTTTGGCACTAAAAAGATGTTCT